AATTTCACAAGTAAACCACGACTTTCAGCTGCAGTTTTCTTTGCAAAGAAATAGCTTAACAAAACTTCTCGCAAATGCTGTTTCTTTCTCCAACTTTCAAAATTTTCCATCGTTGAAAAAAAATATGATGCGCACAAACAAATGAAACACTCTTGACTGATTTTGACAGCATTTGAATAGGTCTTTCAAACGACATACATGTCATTGATCTTTTACAACGCAAAAGCAAGGGGTGACATCTGATGTCAGATTCCGGAAACGAATGCCTACACCCAATACAAAAAAATTCCAAACAGTGATACTAATTTAATTGATTTAGAAGAAAAATCGAACAAATATTATATTGAACTTGCTTAATGAAATACGCAACTACCACCGTGCAGAAAAGTTCGCCTTTATTTTTGACGATTACTCGCTCGCTTATCCTTTAAAAATATCAAAAGTACATAAAACATTTTATTATGCTAAACCACGATGGCCGACCATGATGGTGCCTGGAACTACCCTCGGGTCAACCATGGTTGTCCATGATGACCGCCCATGATGTCCGACTACAATAACTGTGTTAAATCGTGCGTCGGTTTACCCCATCTTCCCCTATATGTACAATTTTAATTCTTTTTTTATATAAACAGCTTTTAACATTTGGATTTGGCGTTTTTATTTTCTCAGCTTCAAGTAAACACGATGTGAAGAACGAGTGACGATACCAACATTTGAAACACAATATTTTTGATATCAATTTTGTGGTCGCGAAGAAAAGATACCATTGGATTTTGAGCCACTTAGATAGTGCAAAGTTTCATATCTGAAGTGATGCCTATTAAAAAAATTTGGTTTTTCTTCTTAAAGTAGTAGTTTAAGTGTACCTAAACACTCAAAACTATCTATTTTTCGTACGAGAAAACAGAATCTGATATTAGATTCATGATGCAAATAATTTTCAACACATCAAATTTACGTCAAAAGATATTTTATAAATTCATATATCATACCAATTTCTCGTTGTAATGTCCACCTTACTCTTCCAAAAGTTGCCAAATGAATCAGATGCCAAAAATACAACAATAATGACCATAATTCCTTTGAGAGAAAAATTAAATATTATGAAAACGAAAAAATATTTATATTTCTGCGGTTAAAGTATTTTATATCAAAGATTATTTCCACATTTATTTAGCTACCTGCTTGACTGAGTAAACCAAATCGTGCATGGCTAACTTGCACCATATTTATGTCCTTTGCATTTTGTTTTCTCGATGATTTTAATGTACGATTTGCTTGGTAAACATTACAGTCATACAAAAATTCACCACGAATTTTGAAAAACACTTCTACCTAATCACAAATGAAAAGAACGAATTATTAATAAATAATAAAATGCTTACTATTTCTAGTACTATTTAGCATTACTATAATAATGGTAACATTGTTGAAACAATGGAATAGTTTAACGTAAATAAACTGTTTATGATGACGTCCGTTATTTACTCTTTGATTATTTGTGCTAGTTATCGTCATTGTAAGCTATCGTTAACGTTGAAGCTGAGAAAGGCCGAAAATATGTTGGGAACAACATGTATAACCCTTTGCTAATCATATTCCTCACGGCATTTTTGCCGCAATTGAATACAACTGTACTTCTACGTTGGTTGTTTTCATTTCGTTTTAATGTATATTCGGGTAGGTGTCTCTATGCTGGAAGTGTTCGTTTGTATGTTCAACGAAGTTCGGTGATATTTGAAGCTATATAACATATGTATAGAAAGTTTTTAGACTAAATTCAGACGTTCGCCATTTGAACAACAAACACACAATATTAAATTCTTTTTTATTGGTATAAACCTTTATTCATGGGCTATCGAATAGCACATTTGAATTACACTCAATGAACCATTGCCTTCGATTTTTCTCAGTATGCGTCCAACCTTCAAAATCATGCTTTGGCAGACCGATTTGTCGATTTCTATCAACTTTCTCTAAATCCATCCAACCAATTGTTGCACGTTTCAAGTATTTAGGACCTTCGCCTATAACATATATCCAAAAACAGACTAGAAATAATTAATTTGGTGTTTTTTTGTGAAGTTAAAAAGATGGTCCTTTTTTCATGGAAATGCTATTTTTTTAGAAGTGTGCCATTATTGTGTTTTTTTCTGCTTACAAAACACAATTTTGTCTTTAATCAGATAGTTCTCAATGAATTCTATCGATCTCAACAATATTTGGTTGATAACAGAGTAAGAAATGAAGATTTAACCTTCATTTTTAGCATTAAATTTTCGAATATTGGCTCTAAAACACCTTCCAAAGAAGATCCTACCATACAAACACCCCTTCATCAAAGTTCGGTTTGTCGACGTCTCTAGCCTTAAATAGTAGTGCCCTAACATTATCAATGCAAAAAAAACCACTTGCACTTGATTCGTGGTTTGATTTGGAGATGAATGTTTCATTTTCCAAAATGATGCATTTTTCAGTGCAACATGCTATGAGACGAAGTGAACACCCAATTTTTGACACCCCTTGGAATTTTTCTATAACTTATTTTGCTGATTCCTAATGATTGTGTCTAAATCTATTGATTTGATTCAAATTTGGATATACTGTAACCATAAGAATCACCAAAACTGAATGTTTGCTTGACCAATTCGATTTTTGGCACTCGGTGACAGTTTTGAAAGGTTTTAGTGCTTGTTTGAGAATACGACCGAACTTTTTGCTTTTTCTAGAATCTTTACATTCATATTAAGTCCATGAAACACGATACATGGTTTGAAGACAGATTGTTTCATCTTTAGACACATGCAGAATTTGTTTTGAACTTAGCTTGCCAAAACCATTTGAGACACTTTTTCGTGAATCCAATTTGTATTCGTCATCGCGAATGGAAATTTTTGTGCGAATTGTGTTTGACAGTAGAGTAGGAGTCCCGTTTAGTCTCCTATGTTCATTGGTTGATAGTTTTGATTTTGTTTATGTAGCGTAATACACGACTGAATTTAGTCTAAAAACTTTCTATAAATATGCAGTGTTGAGACTTAGATACATATCTTTTTTTAGATATTCAGATATCTAGGTATAGATATCAAAAAACGTATCTAAAATCTTATCTAGATAAATTATAAATATTGGAATTTATCTATATCTATCTAGATTCATGATTTTCAAAAGGTATCTATTGCAATAGATAGATAGATATTATTTGTATAACCAGTTGCTTGTACCGTCGCTTCAGATGAAAATTCTCACATCAGAGAAAAAAATTAAACATAAAAGATAAAAAATAAAAAAGACCAAGGAAAAATTCGAAAGTTAATTATTTTTATAATATATTTGGATTTTTATCAATTGAACAAAATACATTTCATTATCGTCGTATTAATTTAAGAGTTTATAGTTTTTCATTACGTTTTATTATTTAATAGTGTTTTATTATAGCTGATAAATAAGCTGTATTCGAAATTCGACGATATAATCTTGTTACGTCTGGGCGTAAAAATTAACGACGATCGACTAAAAAGTCTTTCAACTACACCTGAAGATGATAACGTGGTGTTAAATAAAATTCGAACGAATTCGAACAGAAGACATCATCGTCGTATCATTCTAAATTTTTTATCTATTTTTTTAGATAGATATTAGATAAAGATAGATCTAGATAGATCTAGATACACATTTTAGATATCATATCTATATCTATATAGATTGTTTTCGTAAAACATCATAATATCTATATCTATCTAGATACAAACTATCGTATCTAAGTCCCAACACTGTAAATATGTTAGTTTCTTTCATTCTAATGATTTCCAATCATCTCCCATTCACCCAGATACACACAAATACATACACTATTTCACCCTATCACTCTCTATCTCTCACATATATAATCTGTTTGCATCAACTTCATCATTTTGAAATCTCATTGTAAATATATTTCAATTAAACATACCCCATAAATCAGAAAAAAGATCAAAACTATCAACAACAAAAACGCATAGCAACCACTGAAAACTGAAGCGTATAGATCGGTTTTGTTTGAAACATGGGTTGATAAGATTTCAGCGCCAAATAAACTATATGGAAGAATGTTGAATGCTAAAAATCCAAGAAAGCTTTTTGACAAAAACTGTTTTGCACGTATGTTACGCAAATGAAATATTTCTGCCCAGCTACACGTTGAAAAAGCAGTGGAATAGAAACCATCCAATTTAATTAATGAACGATAAAACAAATTATATTTCATTTTATTACCTGCACGTTACTAAAGAACTGCATGTCAGAAGCAATGGATAATAGGCTGATAGGACCCACTTTGGTTGTAAGCCTTCCTGAAATTACGTTATTTCAATGGAATAAATGAAAAGGGAATTAAACTATATATAGCCAGCAAACGAAGTTGTAATGTTTATAGTACATTCTAACGTTGAAAAATGTAACGTAAATGGGAAAAATTCTGATGTTTATTTTAGTGTCAAATGGAACGGAGATTATGTGCATGGTTTCCAATTAAAATTACGAATTCCAATGGATTGGATCCCAGCGCCAGTCCCTCATAACTAAAAATGGTACAAATTCGCAATAGATGGCGCTTATAAATCGACAAACACGCTTACATTTTATTAGAAGAAAAATGAAAAATATTGAAATATTTTTAAGATAGTTTAATTTAAGGATTTCAATTTAATTCAAGTTAAAAGATGTGATTCTAGTACTTCTTTTGATTTCAATGGTTTTCAAAGGATTATAGAAAATATCAAATGTGATATTTGTTGTTTCGATATGTCGAAAATGTTGTATTGGTTGATTGTCAAAATGCACAGAATTTTTTGTGAAGAAATTTGTTTAGATTTATAATTTTATGCACTCAATTTATTTTATCATATATGATATCTCAGTGTGCCTTTGTGCACATGTCTTATGTTGCCTGTCAAGCTAGACTGCGCATGATACACAACAGTGTCGAGTGTAGTGTACACTATACGATATACATGATGTGCACTATACTCAGCACCGTTGCGTGTGTATCTTGTCGACAGTCAGTAGGGCATACTGAAATATCATATATGATAAAATAAATTGAGTCCTTTAAAACATTTTATAAAATTATAATTATACTTAATTTCTTCTTGAAAACTTCTGTGCATTTTGAAAATAAACCAATAAAACATTTTCTGACATTTCGAAACAACAAATATCACATTTGATATTTTCTATAGTACTTTAAAACCATTATAATCAGAGAAGCACTTAAATGTGGCTTGCAAAAAATACTTCGATTCGATCATGCAGCAGTTGTGAAGCAAATATTGTTTGAGCACAGTCTTCAAATGACAGAAATTGCCTCATTGGCCTCACTGTTGAATTTATTCAAGATTAATGAAGATCGTCAGTTCTTCTTCTATTCGAATGGCCAGGCTATGAGAAATTGGGGAATGGATTCCGTTAATTTTGCAAACAGCACATCGAAAATACGAAAACTGATCTCACCACTTGGTGTGAAGATCGACTTGAGACATTCTTTCGAATGTGAATCTGGTATCGCAATCACAACATCAATGGACCGAGATTCGACAGTATCGACATCAGAAATGCCAAAATGTTAGCATATCGATACAACGAATTGACAAATGGTAATGTGGAAAGAATAGAAACCAACATTTTATTGGTTGCAATTGGATGGCGACGCGATAAATGCATGAAATTTTTTGTAAAAGATCATTGGTTTGAATCGTTGTGGTTTTTCGGACAATAGCAACGTCAAATAGCAGGTTATCACAGTGATGCCGCACAATGGAATACCATTCAAGAAAAATATTGCGTGACAATCTGAACTTTCAACAGCCAACAAACAATCGCCCACCGAAAATAAACAGTTTTTCTCTTGTACCGTTATGCGATTACCATTTGAAGTGCGATTGTATATAAGAGATGTGTACGAAAAACTGGCAAGTAAGCCAAAAGTGGATCCCAGATTCCTGAATACTGAGACCAACCGGCTAAATAAATACCCTGAAAAATACTACAGAGATCATAATCGAGATGGACTATGGAATTCGTCGATAAAATCAACCAATTCCATCATCAAATCTTGACCAATAGTGTTTCCATATCGGTTCTGTACATCAAACCAGAGCGGGCGTGCAATGAAAATTTGCATTTACAGGCGCCTTGCAATAGCCAAATGTCCCCTAGTGATTCAATCACGATTGGTATTCGCTTACTATTCAATAGGCATCACATAGCAACTTTATATGAAACTCTCGGAGACTCGGTATAGAGCACTCAAACAGTGAAAAAAGTCCAGATCGTGATTTGGATGATATGGAATGCGATTTTTTTCATTCTGATTTCACCAGGTGATGCAGAAAGTTGAGTAGTATTTGAGAATTGAAGAAAAAAGAATTAATTATTTTTTTCATTTTTCGCGATTTTTCACCATCTACATGGGAGGCTTGTATGAAAAACACGGAAACTCAGCTTTGTTTCTGTGATGAATACTTATTGACTTCTGCTGTACATGTGATGCTTGTGTATGTATTGTTTTGAAGAAGAAGCACATGTTTGAGTCTCACTCATCTCCGCCCCTTGGAGCCTTGTGTACTTTTGAATGGAAATGCGTTCCGAAATTCATTGTATTAGTTTGACAACACAGATCTTTTTGGAAACGACTATACATTCGGACATCGGAAAAACGCTAGATTCGTGTTGCCTGGCCCCAAAAACACCAAGAAAACACATTTTTGATGGATGTAAATTTTTCGACCAATTCCAATACTTTACCTTACACACCAGTTGTGTGCGGAAAAGTAAAAATTAGATATTCTATATACAATTCAATTGATACTAATCATTGTCGTTCCTCTCTTCCATGTATTCTTATCTGAATGTTACGTTCTGGCAACCGTAAAAATAACTGAAACTACATACAAATCCGTATCCAAATTTGACCGTGAATTTGTGCCTGATAATGGGTGAATTTGCATTACAAATCGTTCCTTATATAGAAGAATATTTACAGGAGTGGTAAAATAAGCTCCACGTAATGAAGCTGCAATGAAAACAACGAAGTAAAGTAATTTTTGAGTTGTAATTCGAATGGCCTGAAGCAATGATGGCTGTTTCAATCGCTTATACTCGCTTTTACAGCATATGAAAAGTTGAATTATTGACAAAGCAGCCACAAAATAGAACACTGATGAAACACCTAAAACAAAAAATATATAGTATAAAGAATAGTAATACGATTTTATTAGAATTAAATCTTACTTGCATGATATGGGATATTATAATCATTGCATTCATCGCCACTGTAACGAATTTCACAAAGACATGTTCCTTTAAGGCAAATACCTCTTCCGGAACATGGTTCCATCAACGAATTTCCTTTCACACTGTATGTGCAGCTCATTGGGGTTTGTAATTTTCTGAACATGATACTGAATATTTTGAAAATAAAAATCTAAATTCAGTTAATTTGTTATTACCTGAAAAAACACCAAACCTACTTGCACACAAAGTAGTATGATTTTTTTCGAATATTCTTATCACTCATCTGAAATGGTTGATTTTCTAGTTCAATTTTTTGTTCAAATTTACTATTTTATATTTCTATTATCATCATATAATTTTTAAGAAAAATTCCAAACATTTTTAAACAAAAAAAATATATGTCAAATATTTATAATGTTAGAACACTCCATTGTCTTTTCAAGTGCCAAGAAGTGGTGAGTTTGGTGAGCTTTATTCATTTATTGTATACTTGGTGAATTATCTGTAGCGAACAATTTTTATAAATTTATTTTCAATTTCTTATTACGTGAGAAAAAAAATGTATTTTAACTGACGGGTTTATTATTGAAAATGAATACTCCTTCACATAACTTTATTGAATTATTTTTTTTTTATTTTTTCAATTACATTTTCACATTATCCATCAGATACATCTATCAAATTATGATTCGTGGTGAAAACTTTTCTGCAGCTATTACTGAAAAATTTACTGTATGTCTGAACGTCTTTAGTGAACATCTGACAAGGCCAGAATTGATTCATCCACAAACGGCTCAACGTAGTAAAGTTTATACCAATGACCGCATTCGCACCGTTTCGGAACATCTTTATACAGCCACATCCATTGAACATATGTCTGATCTTCATGGCCTAAGTTATATATAAATAAAGAAATAATTTCAGAAAATAAAAACTCGTAATCATAATACACTTACATATACATCCAAGAATACGGGCATCAAAAGCTGATGGAATTAAAGTTGGTTTATCTTTGGTACCAACACCTCGTTTGATTGCTTTCATATGGTATGGATCATCATTACCAGCTAACGCGGCTAAAAGTTCCTTCTTTTCCAAACCGGTTGCGTGGTCAATTGGATCCGGCATCTCTTTAATATATAAGTTATCGTTTTTCTTTCATTAATAATAATCAATAAATAAACTTTAACTTATTTTAAATCGAATCACTTTACATCCTAACCTATATAATGAGCTATCAATATATACGATGTAAGCCTTCATTGTGCATTTATTTTATTGAATCGAAATTAATTAAAAATGTTTGTGTAATAAATAATTTAAAATACAAAATCAATAAATAAAATTGTTTTCATTTGAAAGAATATATGGAATACAATACTATAAGATTATGAATTACGTAATGAAAATTCGGTTAGTTGACATGCTCAAGACATTGTACATTAGACAATTCTTCTGTTCTAGTAAAATTTCAATAAAAAATTTCATTTCAACAATTTTTACTTACTGTAAGATTTATGACGATATTGGATGGCTGGAGCCACGAAGAAGTTACGGCGAACGGCATTGGAGAGTAAACGACCACACAAACTTGCCATTTTTACAAAATTTTCTTTGGGAAAATATTCTCACATCAATTCGGATTATTTTTTGTAAGATACTATGTTCATTGACATATAGTAAGGTGGTATAGCAATGAAGTTTGTTCACTCACTGTGATATGATATTATTGGTTTTCTCCATCTAACCTCCATCCAAAACAATTCATTAAATGTATTTTTTCAATATGCTCGATTGTTCGTTTGTTTCTCAAAAATTTATATTTGCATTTTTTTTTCAATTTTTTCCTATTTTGAATATATATTATTATATATTAATAAAAATTAAAAATATGTTTGCCGTCCTTCACTTCACCGCATTTCAGCTCAACCAAACTCGGCCAACTTCAGATTGAAAAAAATTAATAGTGACCTAATGTAATTTTTCATTCTCGAAGAGAATTTTTTCACATAAGTATATTTTCGTGGATAAATGAGGTAATTTTTTTTAATAATATGTTGAAAAGTTTGTAAATTCTTCTGAATTTTTATTTAATTCATGAAGTTAAAAATATATTGAATTTTCATTTTTTAATATCAATCTTATGACAAACATAGGTTAAAATTACTACGGATATTTCATGAAAAATCGTTTACTAAATATATGTTACAGATAATTTGTGTAATAATGATATATATATTATTTACACATTTTTTTACCTATTTGGTGTTCATTTTTAAATAAAATGATTAAAAATAGTGATAGTTGTTCATTGTAATTTTGTGCATAAAATGTTACGTAACGATAAATATAGTTAATCTTAGAAGAATTTTCATGACAGCGAAAATAAATATCATTTATTTGGTCTTATTTATTTGTTAGAAATGGCTTTTCGTTTACTGGGGCAACCTTTGAAACGTGCGATTACTTCACTTGGTAGCCGTGCTCATTCAGTGACATCTGTAACTCCAAAAATTGGTGTCGATGGAATGCCTACTGAACACCACATATATGGAACTCAAATTGGTACCCGTGACATCGTCGGTTTTGGTTGGAATGGACTTCCTTCCTATGTTGACCGAAGTGATTTTCCATTACCAGCCATTCGCTGGAGAGAAGAGACCCCTGAAATTACGGTAGCTGATTAACTAAAATAAAAAATGTGTCGGAGAAGATTTTTTCCAATTTAATGTATTCATTTACAGCTTCTTCGTCAAAAAGAGAAAGGCGACTGGAAAAAGTTAACAAAGCATGAAAAGAAAGCTCTTTATCGTCATTCGTTTTGTCAAACCTTCGCAGAATTCGAAGCACCAACTGGTGAATGGAAATTATGTGTTGCTGGTGGTCTAATTGCAGCATCACTGGCTATTTGGTTTGCTATTTGGATGCGTCTTTATGGTGAGATTTTTTTATCCATTTTGAATAAATATATTCATATTAATAGAAAATCATTTTTTGTTTAGTATTGCCACCGCTGCCATCGAGTGTTAGTGAAGAATCACGAAAGGCTCAATTGAAACGAATGTTGGATCTTGGTGTTGGCCATGTTGACGGTCTTTCATCAAAATGGGATTACGAAAATAAGCGATGGAAATGAACACAAGAAAACAAAGAATTTGTGTAAATTAAATAGAAATGACCACAATAAATGATTGAATAAAAAAAAGTTATTCCCATGGACTTTCTTTGATAGAAAAAGATGAAGAACGAAAGTATATATGTTTTGAGTTCTTGTAAAATTATCATCAAATTTCGCTGCAAATATAAACGATGTACTCGTTCAGTATCCAATGATTGATTCAGATTCGAAAAAATTCTTCGAGTGAGAATACTAGTAATTTCGACCCAAAAGGTTTGGAAAGTAATAAATCTGATATTTACAACGGACTGCAGTTCGTGTGTGGTGAAAACACTCTCTATATATACACGAAATGTACGAAATTCAGTATGGTTGGAAAGCCCTTGGGACAAAGATTCAGAAAAAAACATAGAAGTTTGAAAATCGGTTCACTTGTCTCCCGAATATAGCCATTTAAAAAAAGGTCAAAATTCAGTTTTTCGCCTTTAAAGGTACTTTTTTGACTTTTGACTCTACGGTCACCGAGGCATTTCCGCTTGACACAACCCGGACATATGCATATCGTTCGAAAGTTCTTGAAGTGAGCTATCGAATAGTGCCAATTGCGGTTCAAAAATTTTAATCTGAGGTGTCCAAATCAGACAAAAACCAAAAAGTTACCGTTTGGCCGGACACATAATGGAAATTTTCTCGAAGACTGTTCAATAGTTTCTTTTGAAAATTCCAACAAATTTAGGTTCAAGTCAAAACTATAATAGGCCGCATAGCGCATATCTCGGAAATTCTCGTATTCATGACATTGTCTTCGAAAATATGGTCAAAGATAGCAATTTTTTCATCGGATACTGTGCCCCAACTTGACATATGCATTTCTAATTTTATATTGAAAAAGGCTCTATAGTTCTTTTTTTTGAAAATTCCATCAATTTAAGCCGCAAGTCAAAGATAAAAAAATGTGTATTACATACAACACTGAAAATAAATTTACCGTCCCTACTTGTTTCTGTGTATAAATGTATATTCTTAGAGAAAACCAGAAAAGTTAGAGAGTTTGGGATTTCGGCATTCGATAGGGCATGAAAAACGCTCCAGACGTTTTTTTATTTTCCCCATAATTGCTCCCTATTTAATTTTTTCATTCATGGACCCTCTTTTTTGGATTTCACTTTGAAAAATATTTCGATTCCAGTCACCATTTATTGAGTGGATAACGAATGGATTCGGATGGAATTACGTTTTTCTGTAACTTCATTGGATGGATAAAAGATGGAATAAATGAGTTTCACTGTAGTGTTAATTTGATTACTTTGGATCTAGATGAAACTTGTTGAAATTACCTTTCGAATGCTATATAAATTATGGAGTTTCCGGCACGTTTGGTGGCGTTTTACGCTGGCCATAAAAAACAAGCATGATGGAGTGGTCAAATGTGGTCCAAAGCCTTCAATTGATTTAGAAGTACAGGGGAGGAACATTTTTTAAGGCCTTCGTTTCTGAATTAACTGTAATTGAAGTTTTCTTTATCTCTTCAAATCTTATCAATCTAAGCAATTATTCTGTGCAGACTAGACTGGCCTCCAAAATACAAAAGTTGAAATTTTTTAGCTTTTACCTCGGAATACTTTTCCATATGGTGTGCAAATAACATGTGTAAAGTTTCATGCCGATAGCTCAACGCTAGATGGTGCCGCAAGAGCTCGGTAGGTCATTATGTGAATTTATTGAAAAATGACGTTTTCAGTTAAAATAAAAATATCTTCGCACAACCGCATCGACTCAAAATTGACGGTAATCCTCATTTTCCATCAAATACTTGCCACTGGTGAGGTTTCAAACAATTTGAATGAAAATAAAACACATTTCCATTCAAAAATGAAGTTTTTGTACCAAAAGTACAACAGACCTCCACAAATTAATCTCATTTGAAGTTAGAATACTTTCAGAACAAAACTAATGTGATTCCACTTTGGTATACACTCATTTGAACGCATCGTG